TTTGATGAACTTTAATGCTCTGTTTGAAATGGAAATGTTTTGTTTAATTTGTCTCTATCTTCAACAATGTTTGTGGTGATCTGATTTGATACACTTGTATAACTCCTCAACTGGGTAATTGGAATGGACTTTCATATATGATCAACACATTCTCATTATTTTAAATTGTATCTATCCGTGCGGTTTTGAACTTTGAACACATGTCCACCTTCAGAGGTGGTCGAAACATGCGACCATCCAGCCTCATGGCCTTAATCCTGATGGGTTTTTTCTTCGAGCGCATGCCCACCCTCAAAGGAGTGGTCGTTACATGGGACCATCCAGCCTCATGGCCTTAATCATGATGGATTTTTTCTTCGAGTGCATGCCCACCCTCAAAGGAGTGGTCGTTACATGCGACCATCCAGCCTCATAGCCTTAATCATGATGGATTTTTTCTTCGAGAGCATGCCCGCTCTCAAAGGAGTGTTCGTAACATGCGACCATCCAGCCTCATGGCCTTAATATGATGGATTTTTTTTCGAGCGCATGCCCACCCTCAAAGGAGTGGTCGTTACATGAGACCATCCAGCCTCATGGCCTTAATCATGATGGATTTTTTCTTCGAGCGCATGCCCACCCTCAAAGGAGTGGTCGTTACATGCGACCATCCAGCCTCATGGGCTTAATCATGATGGATTTTTTCCTCGAGCGCATGCCCACCCTCAAAGGAGTGGTCGTTATATGCGACCATCCAGCCTCATGGCCTTAATCATGATGGATTTTTTTTTTCATATAACCTGTCATCAGGGTTAATCCAGGGATTCCAGCTATATATAAAATAATTCGATAAACAGTAAATTGTGGAAATTCCAATACGCCATTTCATTGATTATCGAGCAAATAAGTTCATTACATTGGTGCTAGCGAGTTGCTCTATGAGTAAAAAGAAAAATTTTAAGCATAATATTTTTTCAAGTTAGCTACATTCCATGACCTGGCTAGAGATCTTCCTTCTACAACTTTTAGAGAGTATGCCCCTCCAGCATGGACCTTTTCGACCAGATATTGTCCTTCCCAGTTTGGCTCCAGTTTTCCAACGTGCTTCAACACGTCGACTCTTCTCCACACCAGGTCGCCCACCTGGAATCTTCGTACCTTCACCTTCCTATCATGGGCTGCTCGCATCCTCTATTTGTACGCCTCGACTCTGATTGAGGCCTTCTCTCGAAGCTATTCGATTGTGTCGAGAGCTGCCATCATTAAATGTTCATTCTGTTCTCGATCATATGTGCTCGATCTTTGGGACTGAACTTCGACCTCCACCGGCAACAAAGCTTCCATTCCATAAACCATGCTGAACGGTGTTTCTCCAGTGGTCGATCGGGGTGTTGTTCTATATACCCATAGTACCGAAGTAAGCTCATCCACCCACGCTCCCGATGCCTTCTCCAGCCTTTTTTTGAGACCGTTCAGTATGATCCTGTTAGTCACCTCGACCTGCCCGTTGGCTTGCGGATGCGCGACTGAAGCAAAGTGTTCCTCGATTTTAATGTCCTCGCACCATGCCCGAATTCGTTTGCCATTAAATTGGGTCCCGTTGTCCGACACCAACACCTTAGGAACTCCAAACCTGCAGCATATGTTGTTATATAGAAAATGTATCACTTTTTTCTCCGTGATATTTGCCAAAGGCTCGGCCTCCACCCACTTCGTAAAATAATCGACTGCAACAATCAAAATTTTTCTTTGTCCGGTTGCTTGAGGCATGGGCCCGACCAAGCCGATCCCCCATTGGGCGAACGGAATGGGAGCGCTCATCGTCATCATTGCTTCGGCAGATTGATGAATAAGCGGACCATGCTTCTAGAATTGTAAACATCTTCGCACTATTGCTTTCGCATCTTCCCTCATCGTCGGCCAAAAATATCTTGCCCTTAGAATTTTCGCCACAAAGGAGCCTGCCTTGCTGTGGTCGCTACAGTATCCCTCGTGGATTTCCTTCAATACATACCGTCCCTCGTCTCTGGTAACACATCGTAAGTGCGGGCCAACGTGCGATCTTTTGTATAAAATCCCTCCATGCTCAAAGAATCTCCTTATTACTTTGATGGCTCCTTCCTTCAATTCTTTAATTATCAGTGACCTCCAATCCTCAACTTCTTCTATCTCGGTCACCTCCTTCTCGACCACACTCCTTTCCATATGTAGCAGGGTCACACTCCTGCTCTTACAATCGACCAGATTCTGTGCCACTTTAGCTAATAGGTCCGCCCGACCATTTTCTCCTCGAGGTATCTGGATCAACTCGAATGAATCAAACTCCTCCTGTAGTTTCATCATCTCCTCCACATACTTCACCATCCTTTCCTCCCTGATCTCAAACCATTCTTGAAACTGGCCCACCACTAATTGTGAGTCTGAATGTATTTGTACTTTTCGAGCTCCACCGGCTAGGGCCAGTTTGAGTCCCTTAATGACTGCCTCATACTTCGCCTCATTATTTGATACCTGGTACGCCACTTTAACTGCAAACTCGAGGCTGTCACCTTTTGGCGATATAAGCACGATGCCTAGGCCACCTCCGGCCCTCGACACCGATCCATCTGCGTACACCTGCCACACTCCCTCAGATTCCTCGTTTTCCTTCGTCCCTTCTTGTATAAAATCGGCCAGTGCCTGAGCCTAATCGCCCTTCTTGGTTCATAAATAATCGTGTATTCACTCAGCTCGACTGCCCACTTGACTAACTGTCCTGATACAGAGGGTCGACCCAACGTCTCCCCCAGTGGCATATTCATCTGGACTTTCACCCTATGTCCCAAGAAATATGGTCTCAGCTTTCTGATAGTGACGACCACTGCCAAGGCCCCCTTTTCTATCCCCGAATACCTCCTCTGTACCCCTTGCATCACCTTACTCACGTAATAAATGGGGAATTAGGCTGTCCCTTCTTCCCGCAGTAACACCGAGCTCACCGCCATCTCACCAATGGACACATACAACACCAAGTCCTCCCCTTGCACCGGTTTGCCAACAGTGGCAGGTCCACTAGCACCTTCTGCAACTCCTCGAATGCTTTTTGGGCTTCTTCTGTCCATTGAAACTTCGAGCTTTTCCTGAGTGTTTTGAACAAGGGCCCACTCTTCTCAGCCACCTTAGAGATAAAACGACTCAGGCCCGCTATTCGACCAGTTAGGATCTGCACCTCCTTCACATTCATGGGGGGTTGCATCTCGACCACCGCTCTTACTTTCTTCGGGTTGACCTCGATTCCCCTCTTTGTGACCATGTAGCCCAGAAACTTCCCGGATTTGACCACAAATGAGCATTTAGCGGGATTCAGCTTCATTCCGTATTTTCGAAGGGTCATGAATGTTTCTTTCAAGTCGTTCACGTGATCGATCTCTTCTTTGCTCTTCACCAACATATCATCCACATACACCTCCATGTTTCTCCCCAACTGCTCCTTAAAGATTTTATCCACCAATCTCTGATATGTTGCTCCAACATTTTTTAGACCGAATGGCATTACCACATAGCAATAGGTTCCTCGGCTCGTCACAAAACTGACCCTTTTCTAATCTTCTCGCGCCAGCGGGATTTGATGATAGCCCTGCGACGCATCCATCAAGCTGAGTAGCTCACATCCGGCCGTGGAATCGACCAGCTGGTCGATCCTGGGCAATGGGTATAAGTCCTTTGGGCATGCCTTATTCAAATCCCGAAAGTCTATGCACATCCGCCACTTCCCATCCGACTTTGAGACCATCATCGTGTTCGACAGCCACTCTGAGAATTGGATCTCCTTTATGTGGCTTGCCACCAAGAGCTTTTCTACTTCCAACTCGATCACTTTATCCATTTTTGCCCCGTGATGCCTCATCTTTTGCTTCACCGGCCTCACAGTGAGGTCGATATTCAACCGGTGCTCGATAACTTCAGCCTTGATACCAGTCAACTCCTCCGTCGAATATGCGAACACATCCGCAAATTCCCTTATCATACTAATCAGCCTCGATCTCACTGGTTCCCCTAATTCCTTTCCGATTCAAAACTTTTTCTCTTCATGCCCCTCGATCATCTGGATCTCCTCAACTTCGCCTCCTGTCTGGATATCTACCTTCTTCTTACCCTTCTCCAACCTTTGCCCTTCTTCCTTTGATCTCGACCCTCCTGGTCGACTAACCTCCTCCTCTTTTAGCCGCGTCTGCCTCCTTGCTAGCTGTTTGTTATTGCTCACAGTGGTCTAGTAGCAGCTTCTTGAGGTAAGTTGATCCCCAGCGATCTTACCAACGTTTTCGCCCACCGGATACTTGATCGTCATGTGGTACGTGGATAAGATTGCTTGGAACGCGTTCAAGCTCGTTCTCCCCATTATGATGTTGTAAGATGATTCAGCTCCTACGACCACAAATCTTACCATTCAAACTTTCCGGGTCGCTCCTTTTCCCAGGGTTACATATAGACTTACTTCTCCCATCAGCATAACCTCTCTGCCATTAAAACTATACAAGGCCGTAGCCACCAGCTTCAACTCCACATTTAACTCCCGATTGATTTGCACGAAGCAATCATAAAACATGACATCGACCGAGCTTCCTGTGTCTATAAACACCCTTTTTACATCGAAACCTGCAACTTCTGTCGTAATCACCAAGGCATCATTATGAGGTATCACCACCCCTGCTGCATCCTCTGCCCAAAAACTAATTTCTAGTACTCGGGCCGTGATGCCCACCTCCTCTCTTTTCCTCTTCATCGCTCGAACATGACCCCTCCTAGCATTATTCGAGTCTCCGTCCGTCGGTCCTCCTGAGATCATATATATCGCGCCTCTCTTCACCTGGCCTCCCTCTCCTTGTCTCTCTCATTCTCTACTTCCTCGTCTCCTCATCCCCTCATCTCTCTTTCGACCATCTCGACCACTTCGTGGATCCTCTTCATCATCTTCATCACTCCTCTCCACCGATTCTTCTCGACACCTTCTCTTCTCTTTTCCCTTCATCTTATCCTGATAAACGAACTCCTTGAGATGTCCTGCTCGGATAAGGTGCTCTATTTCGTCTTTGAGATGTCGACAATCCTCAGTGGTATGGCCATAATCTTTGTGGAAGCGGCAATATCTCCTCGACTTCGGTTGAGTTGGCCCCTCGAACCTCGACCTCGGCCACGTCATATCTTTCCCATCTGTCCCCTTCTCCATAGCTATCAAGACCTCGACTACCTTCGCATTCAACGGGGTATAATCATGGAATCTCTTTCCTCCAGAGATAGGCCGGTCCTTCCATCTGTCCTCGCGTCCCCGATCCTTCTTAGTTCGCCTCTCTCTCTTGGGTGAAGCTCTCCTTCTAGGCGAAACTGCCTTCTCCTTCTTCGGCTCCACGTGACCTAACTCCTCGAGTTTGGCAAACTCCGCCTCGGTCTCCTCGAGGTTAATATATTTCCTACACCTTTTCATCACCTCATCATAAGTATGAGCCGGGGTCTTGGCCAGAGAGGTCCGACATGGCCCCGCTCGTAAACTTCTAATCAACCCTCCCGCCTTGACCTCATCGACCTCCGACGGGATCTCTAAGCAAGCCTGATTGTATCGGGCTACGTATTTGCGCAGTGACTCCTTCTCGCCTTGCCTCGAGCGCGTCTCTCTGTTTGACCATCCACCTTGGCCTGCAATTGATGCAGCTGCTCCGCCATTCTCTCCATTTCTCAATCCTGTGGGGGCCCGCCTCCGCCATAGCTAGATTCATCCTCCTCTGCATTTTGGCGTGACACCGCAACAGCAGTCGGCACCGTAGTAGCCCGAGAGAGACTATTTGTAACTTGCTGCACCGCCTGCGCAGCTGCCTCCGCCACCATTTGTTGCATCTCCTGTCTGGTCATCACCACCTACTGGCCGGGGACTTGCACCGCTGCCTGCGGTGGTGCTCCTCCTTGTGCCACCGTTCCTCCTGGTTGCGCCACCACGGGATTTTGGGGCGGCGGCGGCGGCATCGCCGCCACAACCGCTGCGCAGGCCTCCTGAGCACGGTTGGAGCCAGCATCTCCTCCGGGAATCGTCGTCGTCGTTCCCACACCTTGAAGGACAGGTGTAGGAGTGATCGGCGTCTGCAATGGGCCAAAAAAACCCGGAGGAGGGCCTTGTCCAAATGGCCTGGTCGTCGTCCAAGCGTCGTCGAACGTCGACTGTAAGTTTTTGGGAATTCCGTCCGCCATAGCTGAGCTTCAAACACAACTTCTCAAACGAAAGTCCCACAAACGACGCCAAATGGTAACACAAAAGTTCCCGACTGGCTGGAACTTGAATGATCGCCTTCCTTCTCGCTGGTTGAAAGTCGTGCACCTACAAAGAACTCTCACACTGGAGGGGTTTTCCGGTGAAGAGCCTCCGAAGCATAAGTCAGTGTATATTCAATCAATTCTCAAGAGTAAGTAATAGAATGATCGTGTTGAAGAAGAAAGGCTCACCCCCTTTATATAGGGGTGAGATACCTGACCTAGGGCTGCTCGGATTTGGTGAGCTGTTTGCCCTAACTGCCCGTCTGTACACACAATACGTGTGTGTCAGAGTTAGCCATCGCCACTATCGCCTACACCAATACTCTTTGGCCGTGTGTCCTCCTGCACATGGGGTAGGCTGTCAGAGGTGGTTAGTGCTATCAACCACTGCATTCTCGAGACGTGTCCCCCTGCACATGGGGTAAATATTCTCCTAAATTCGGCTAGGGGCTCTCCCACGCGCCTGTGACTGGACCGATCATTGTAGCGTTAAGTCCTCGAAGTGGTCGACCTGCTAAGGTCGACTACTTTGCTCGATTGCTCGATCGCTTATCTGGTCGAGCCATAGACTGGTCGACTGTTTGACTGCTCGATCTTCCTGCCACTTGGCTCGGTTACGTCCTCTTCGACCGATTCGGTAGACCAGTTTAGCCTGGTAGGTATGATATCCTATATCATCTAGTCCCTCCCCACTCTGGTCGAGTCTGAATGACTCGATCTAAGAGTGAATTTGTGCTCATCGACCTCCTAGATAGCATGGTGTCCGATATCGACCATTTGATGGATTTCCCGCTTATTTTTTCAAATAATATCTCATTAATTGCCCGGGATAAGGTCGCCTGTCACATATCCTTTCTGTCGCGCCTGCTTTTCTGCCACGCGTCGCGTCTGCCGCATTTGTCAGTCACTTTAATGATAGCGCCTCCTCTCATAACGTCCCACTTTGAGTACCGTGTGAATTAACGCTTTCTTCCGTCAGATCTATCTTTAATCCAACGACTCTTCTCTCTCTTTCTTCAATTCTCCATGTATAAATTCAACACTTGGCGAATTTTCTGAGTTTTTCCTCCTTTGCAATTTCGAACTCTACTATGCTCAAACATCCTTTTTGCAAAAAACCCTAATCTTTTCCGGCGATTTCCCCTGCGATCTTCGAGCTTTTCCCAATCTCTGATCTGCGATTATGAGTAAGTTGTTCCTCGCCTGATTTTACGCTTCCTGTATCTGAGATTTTGCGTTTTGAATTTTTTGAATTGGGTGTCTAAAGTTTGTTGTTTGAGTGTTTTGAATCTGTGTGTTGAATGTCTGTCCCCGCTTGTTAATCACTGTGAATTTACCCTATCCCTTCGAAAATCCCTCGAAATCCCTGTTTTCCTCCTTTAATTTCTCCAAAATCGCCTCTCCGTAGAACCCTAACTTTGGAAATCTTCTTCTCCTCCTCTTTTTCTTTTTGTCTAAATTCTTCTTTTTGACCTTGTTCTTTTTTTTTTCTTTCTTGTTTTCAGATCCTGCTACTTCGACCACCTCCTCCGATTCGGTTCAAATATTGCCCTCAGCACTCGAAGTCGTTCCTCTTTCTATCCTTCACCCCGGTGATACCGTTCATACCCGTATTTTCACAGCCCATATTGCTTCTTCCAACTCTGGGGATACTATGGATAATATTCCCCTTCGCCATCGTCGACCTGCATTTGGCTCATTAGATGAGTCAGAGGAAGATGAGGTCACTTCTTCTCAACCTACTTTCCCTGTATCTCCAATCATTCCTCCTCCTTCTTCCCAACCTGATGTTCCAAACTCTCCTCCCAAAAAATCTTCGACCAATAAACTCTCTAAGGCTTCTTCGAAGCGTCCATCTTCTACTTCTCTTTCCCATCCTTGGTATAATCCTGAAAAGATCGGCCAACCTCTCGATTGGGCGTTCTATAGCTCTTCTTCTTCCGATACCTTCGACCATCCCCCTGAAGACTGTTACACTTTTTTCGAGATTCAATTCAAGCTTGGTCTCCGCTTTCCCCTGAACCCTGAGCTGATTCGCATCTACGAGTGGTTCTCGCTCCCCCTTCATCAACTTCCCCCTAATGCCATCTGTTTCATGACCACCTTCATCATTCTCTGTCACATCCGTCTAGGTCGATTCGACCTAGCTTTCTTCCATTACTGCTACGCCCCTTCCAAACAAGGTCGAGGCCTCTACTTGAAAAGCCGCAATGGCGCCCACTTTATTAATGACGTTCCCTCCAATCTTCCTAAGTGGAGTGATAAATTTATTTTCGTCTAGCCTGATGTCCCTTTCCCTTGGCCCTCTATCCCATGGGTCAAGGAAGTTTCACGAGAGGCAACTTCGGCCCCTCCTCCTAACCCTCTGTTCGACCAACGGGTCCACACTTTGAATTCCAAGTCCGTTGCGTCAGAACAACTTCTCAAGGATGAAAACCTCCTTCACCACTATGGTCTTCTCACTCACAAGACCTGCCCTCCTCCCAGTGATGAGATCCTCGATCTTATCCGGATCGAGAATGACCCAGGTACTCTTCGACCATATTACTTGGATATTTTGGCACCCCTCTATTTTGGTTTTAAATATCCTCTGCTAATGTTGACTCTAATCTTTTTGTCGTTTCCCTGCAGAGGTGCCCAGGTTCAACATTCTGCCGAGGAAAACTCCTTTGAAGGAGAAGTCAGGGGCTATCTCTGGCTCGACCGGCGATAAGGTCGAGGGGTCAGCTGCTTCTTCCGGCTCTCGACCAGAGCCGCAGTAGCGATCCCCTCCTCGAGAGGCTCCATTGCCTCCGCCACCACTGCAGAGAGAACAGCAGCAACAACAACACCAGCAGCCACTGGCGCAAAAACAACAGCACCAAACAAAGCCACCGCAAGGGGGAACTCCCACACCTCCTCCTGAGAAGAACCCTCAACACAAATCCCCCTCTTCGTCGACCACCAAAACTTCAGCCTCCTTCAAGATCGACGACTGCCAAAAAACTACCGACCGTCAGCACAAAACTGACGACTGCTCCCAAAAACCGACCATCGAGCCCCCAATCCCAGAGATGCCACTTCTTCTAAGACCACAGACAGGTCTTCTGAATCCACTGCCTCGTCCAAAACCAAGATCCACGACAGACCTCCTGTCGATCATTCTTCCTCGAAGAACCTTTCTGCTGGCTCGACCAAGGCTCTGGTCGAGTCTAGTAGTCAAGATGAAGCGGGGCGCCAGTTGGCCTTGGGGAAGCGCTCTCGCACCGACCAGGGCGAGATGGTCTGGAAACGGGGGCGTGCCAACCATTCTTGGCCTGACCCGCAAGCCCCGAAACCTACTTCCTTGCTGTCGGCCTCTGTGAGCGAAGTGGCTGA